TAATAAACTTTTCATACACTGAAATAAAATGAGCTCTTACTGTTAACTTACTTTGGGGATGGAGAAGAGGAGGCCAATATTGAGAGAAAAGATTGCCTACTTTCTCTGGGGAGAAAGAAAAGAAACGCTGAGCTACAGTTCCTGGTCCTGACGCCAGATGGCAGTAAAATCACAACAGAAGAAACAGTTCAGAACTATCCCAGTGGCCTCCGTGGCTGGATACACTTGGGGAAAATACATGTCAGATTTTAACATCTCAGAGCAAAGTAATGTCTCCTCCCCTTCACATCAACCTCTCCTATTGCCGATAGCATTAAGCAAAAACATCACAATCGGACCCATCTGGTTTGGCTCAGTGGACAGAGCATTGGCCCAAGGACTGAAGGGTCCTGGGTTCAATTCCAGTAAAGTACCTCGGTTGTAGGCTCAGGGAGCATGCTGCAGGCAACCAACCAACATTGATGTTTCTCTCTCTCTCTCTCCCCATCCCTTCTACTCACTATAAAAATCAAAGGAAAAATATCCTTGGGTGAGGATTAAAAGAAAACAACAACAAAAAACACACAAAAAAAACACCCCATCACAATTGGTATCCTCTACGCCACACATCCTCTTTGATAAAGTGATAGTATTAGCCATCATTTATTCATGTGTGTGTATGAAAATAACTACGAAGAACTACCCTATGAAGAAGCTTAGTATCAGACTGGGAGAATGGGACATAAATGTTCCAGAGGGCTAGTACTGTAATTCAGAAGAGAAATTTATATAAGATGGAAAACTAACCTGTAAGTTTTTAAAGATGAAATTTAGATCAACATTGTTTCGAACCTCAAATATACTAACCACATTTGAAAACTAAAGTATCATAGGTGAAATTTTAGTATTTTTTACTTAACCCAATTTATTAAAAATATTATCAACATGTAATCAATATTAAAATTTTGGTGAGATATTTAATATTCTTTTTCTCTTACTTTTTTTAATCCTTACCCAAGGATATGTTTTACTGATTTGAGAGAGGGAGAAGGAGAGAGAAAGGAAGAGAAACATTGATGTAAGAGAAACAGCGATAGGATACCTCTCATATGTGCCCCAACCTGGGACTAAACCCGCACCTGCCCTCACAGGGAATTCAGAATCGAATTCGTGACCTTTCGTGTATGGGACAATGCTCCAACCAACTGAGCCACACTGTCCAGGCTATATTCTCTTTTTCATTATAAATCTTGAAAATCTGTGTATTTTATACTTACAGAACATCTGTGTGAACTGCCATATTTCAAATGCTCAATAGGCACATTTAGCTAGTGAACTGCCATATTTCAAGTGCTCAATAGGCACATTTTGAACAGCACAAATCTAGGTGGTAGAAAAAGTATTCCAAGCTTCAAGAAAAAGCAGAGCGGAATTAAAGGGTATTATGCAAACAAGAACAGAGTAGTCAGAACAGTGAAAAAATTTAAAAGCAGTGACTAAAAAGCATAGGAAGGAAATTATTAAAAGGGAAAAGAAAGTAATATCAAATACTGCAGAAGCTGGAAGAGATCTCTGCATTTAAAACCTAGGAGTCATGTGACCAGTGAGTGGACTGCCCAGTGAAGCTTTGGAAACCAAAGCACATTAGAAAAAATTAAGGTATTTTTTAAGCCATTACTTTTTTGTCAATAAAATTTGACAGAGGGAAGAAGGGAGAGAATTGGGACAGTATTTTGAAGGAAGGGGCTTATTTGATCACATCTGGAAATTGAGGAAAAGGGTTAATTTCCTGTAGAAGGAGAAACTCATAATTTAAAGACTCAAGAATGTTACTGATAAGGAAGAAGCCAAAAATCAACAGGAGAAAATAAGACAAAGAAACTAAGTAGAAGAGAATGGCACTGAAGGAAAGAAGAAAAGAAAATAAAAGGGATAAAGAGAAAAATTCTTGTTTTCAAGAGAAAATATGAGAAATCTCATCTCACAAGGGCTTTATCTCAGTAAAGTAATTCTAGAAGTCAATAGGAAGTAAACAAAGTAAGAATGTGAAAGAAGCTTGAGGCAGAGTGGAAAGTTTTGATTACCCTTTGAGGGAAAGTGTTCCTCAAAATGCAGTCCCCAGGCTTGCATCAGCATTACCTGGGAAGGTGATAGAAATGCCCATTAACGGACATCAAATCACACCTACTGAATCAAAATTTCTGTGAGACCAGGATTCTGGGCTTTAACAAGACCGTCCAAGTGATTCTCATGCACACAAAACTGAGAAGGTTCTCCAAATAGAGAATCTCACTAACATGTAAGCACTGTATATGAGGATGACATCTATAAGTGAAAAGCAGAAACTCAGAGCCCATGGAAGAGGCAGAACAATTCCCAGGGATGATTCTAGGATTTGACCATGCTAAAGATAAGAGCTGAAAAACGTAAGACCAATCCCGACCTAGTGTTAAAGGTTATCATCCAATCAGGATAGAGAGGAATGGAGAGAAAGACTGTGAGCTAGAAATTATAATCATCAAGGAAGAAGGAATGGGATCCTGGAAACTTATCAGCAAGTGCAAGGAGGAGGACAGGGTGGTGTAAATGGGGATATGTGGCAATCAATGTCTGAAGATATGAGATTTTTTACTGTACAACTGGTGGGGTACAAAAGTGCAGCCAAGAAATACAAAAGTGATAACGATAGGAGTACAATTCAAACTGAACATAAACAGAATTACAGGAAAAATAGTTAACTATGAGAATGTTGACAATGTTTACCTTCAAGATACTGTACCCTGAGGCAGCTACTGAAGGCAAACTTATTGACTATAAAAGACGAAAAGTGAGCCCCAGCCAGTTTGGCTCAGTGGATAGAGCCTGAGAACTGAAGGGTCCGGGTTCAATTCCAGTTAAGGGCATGTACCTGTTACATGCTCAATCTCCAGGGCAACTGTGGGAGGCAACCAATCTGTGTCTCT